CCCTTTCTCGTGTATATCGTTTGCTTCACAAAAAGTGCTTCCTCGAAATATGATTGAAAAGCCAAGAGGGAAATACATTTTGCTGCCAAAGCGATGCACCCGGCGCCACAAGAGAGAAACGCCTTTTTTCGTTTCGTTTCGTAGAGCATTTAGAAAGCAAAGACCTGGTCCTCGAGCTTGCTGACGGGACGGGCCTTGGCGAAGCCGAGACTCTCGGTGGCCTTCTTCAGACCGCTAATCATGGGAGGGGGGCCACAGAGGAGAATCTTGACATCGGGAGCGGGCTTGGGGAGCCAGTTCTGTTTGCGTAGTTAGTAACAGACTGTTGGTGCTGAAGGGAGATGAGCCCAAGGGCCAGGGGCAACTCACGTTGATCATCTCAGCGGTAACAAAGCCGACGCCGCCGGTCCAGCCTTCCGGAGGCTTGTCCAGAACGTAGTGGATCCGGATGCCGCTATCCTCGGCGGCAAGAGCATCGAGGTCCTCCTTGAGAAGAATATCCTGGGCGGTGACGTTGGCAAAGATGAGGTCAACCTCGGTCTTGTCGCCGGCAGCACGTCCACGAACAATGGCGCGGATAACCTGGAGCATGGGGGTGATGCCGGTGCCTCCAGCAACCATGCCAAAGTGGCGAACCATGTTGGGGGTGTAGACGAAGGCGCCCTTGGGGCCACGGACGCGGATGGTCTGGCCAACCTGGAGGGAGGCCATGTGCTTCGAGATGTTGCCCTGGGGGTACGACTTGATCAGGAGGTCGACAAAACCAGGCTGGTGGTCGCCAGAGATGGGGGTGTACGATCGGACAATCTCCTTAACGGTGCCATCAGGCTGAGGAAGGTGGGCGCCAATGGAGATGTGCTGGCCGATGGGGAGACCAAGAATGCTTCGGGGCGAGGGGAGCTTGAATCGGTAGCTAATGAAGATTGTGTCGTTAGACGGGAGGGGGAGAAATAACGAAGGATCTGGCAAAAGAGGACTTACATGGCAACATTGTGAGAGATGATGGTCTTCTCCTGGAGCGGGAACTCCTGGAAGACATCCGGCTTCAGCACCTTCTTGATCTCTGCAGAGAGCACAATTAGTTTCAATTGCACGAATACGCAATAGCGCGCGAGTCAATGCGAGTTAGTTCGCTACTCACGGAAGCTGTAGTAGTTCCAGACGCCGAGAGCGACGGCCAGAGCAGCTGCATAAGGCGTCCAGTCAATCTTGACGATGGCGGTGCCGACGACCAGGAGAGCGGCCGGGACGTAGATGTAGTCAATGTACTGACGAGCCCAGAGGCCGTCGTCGGTTTTGGTAGCCATTGTTGGCGATGTGCAGGCGGTGGACGATGAAGAAAGAAGAAGAAAAGAAGTGCACTAGTGGCAGCTTCACGGCTTGAAGCAAATAGGGAGGATCAGGGTCTGCGTCCAGATTTTACCATTCCAAGGTGGGACAATGCGGGACAATTTGGCCACGGAGGGGCGCCGCAAGCTCGGGGTCCGAGGCCTCAGGCAATTGGGGGCAGCCGAGAGAAGTCAGAGTCGCCGCAGTGAGGCTGGAGTCGGTTGAGAAGCTGCGCGGCTGCTTGTGAGACACTCCCCGCCAGTTGCGTCGCCGTGATTCCGTGGGCCTCGAGGGAAGACGAGGCTTGATAACACGTCCCAGGATGGAAATTTTGGCGGTGACGGAGGCTCGTCGTTCTGCCGTTGAGCTGGGCCCGCCACCCCCAACGAAAAGGAACAACGGGACGGCCAATGGCCAGCCGCGGAACGAGGTCGGCAGAACGAATGATCCGGGGCTATGCATCTTGCTTAGGTATGTACTACTATTGCTGCCCGTGTTCCGTCTCAATTACCGTTTTCTACCGTAACCACGGCACTTACTCGTGCTACAGGACCTGGACTCTGATATGTAAGGTATTATGAGATTCATCCCTTCGACGGGCCACCATTGTGGACGCGCGGCACTGCGAGTGCAGATAGGAAGACATACGATCACACGTACAGACAGACGGCTGAATGGGGAAAGCGATGCATACGTCATGCCACCAGCCCGGTACAACGGGACCCAGCAGATAAGGAACAGAGAGAGACCGGAGTGATGGTTGATGGTGAAGCTGGGCGCTTATTTACAGAGAAACAGCTTGAAGCAACGACCATGGAGAAGCAACACCGCGCACTGTATCGACACGGTGCTATGCAGTGGCTGCACGACAGTAGCACATACGTTTGCACAGTATCATATTGCTTGCTGCGTCAACTTGTGCTGCGGCGGACGGCCCAGTCAGGAAAGCGCTGCATTGTGAAGATACACCATGTCGGCAGCTGACGTCCGGGCATACGAGATGCACGGAGCAACGCGGCACTGCCTGGCGCTATAACACCCCGTAATCGTATTCTACGGCCCTACTGACCCCAAAGCTTACCAACCTCCGGCCACTCGCTACCACCAGGGGGGAAAGTAAGGGAGCTTAAGACAATCTGGAGCAGCAGCAGGGCGAGAGGAGTCGAGGAGGCTGGTTGGAGCTGAGCGGACGAGCTCGACTTGATTGCTGGACGAAGAGCTTGGGAGCTCGCTCTGCAGATTACAGACGGGGCACGGAACATTTGCCGCATGATGGCCAGGTGCTGGAGCCACTAGAGAACATCAGCCACCAGAAATTGGACGGAGCTGCGATGATCATTGCGTGTAATCTTTGGAGCCCTGACCTGAGCCCCTGGCCAGCCTTCTCACACCAGCTCGCGGACCCCGGTCTGAGGCGTTATACGGCTCCGCCGTGGGTGCATGGCTACATACATACAGTACATGTGCAGCCCAGTGCCTCGACGAGATGGGATAGGGTAGCTTGGGCAGGTGTCACGGTGATGAAAGAGGCAGCGGGCGAAGAGATGGAAAGGCATCGCGCCCGGAGAGCAGGCCAGATCGGATATTGATTGATATGGATTGGGGCGAATGGACAGGAAAGGCAAAGAGGATTTGCACAAACAGAGAGCGAGCTGGTGAGGCAAACAGAGCATTAGCCACACTCCCTGCCTTGCGATTGATTGTTTCTATCGTGGCAGAAACAAGAAACAGAGGCAGAGCAAGGTTCCGAGACCTTGAGACTCAGATGCACAGCACGCACACGGCACACACACGGCACAAGAGCTAACCTAACCAACAACACCCACCCGAACGCGCATGACGACGGCTGGACGAGGGGATACGGGGTCCTGCAGTGCTAGCCGCAGCGCGAATCGCAACCCGCGGGTCCAAAAGTCATCTCATGCCGCCGACGATGGGCCCGTGGGCGCCGCTCATAGGCTGGCGGGCCCTGAACGCAGGTCGGCCAGACGTCAATTGACTCTGCGCGCCGAGATCGAGATTCCGGCTTCTGGAGGCGTGCCATGACGCTGTTTCGCGAAATCCCCCAATGCAGGCGTCGCGCACAGGGCGACAGGGTGGGCAGCCCGCTCAACCCCCGTCCAGACGGCCAGACACCCTTGGATGGGCACAGAAATACGCGGTTTCAAGTTGTCGTTTCCTGCTATTTCTGCGGCCCCGTGTGGCGGTTACTGGCGCTCCGCACCCAGCTCAACTGCCTCTTCCATGTCGAACCTGGCAGCACGGAGCTTTCTTTCGGTGCCTGTCCCGTCTGTGCCTGGACCCGGTCAGTGACTTTGACGAGCGCGGCTCATTGGAGATATCACACGCCTGCCTCCCTGTTGCGGCACACCTTCGTATTTCCTTCCATTCTCTTCTCCCCAGTTCATCTTCCCACCAATTCTTCCCTTCTAGCCCCTCTGCAGCCCCTCCGCATCTGCTGCGAGTGATTTTCCATCTTCTTCTCTTCTTCTTTTCTCCGTCTTCTTCTTCATCGTGTGACCAAGGGCCAGACCGCTGGACGGACAGCTGGCAGCGCAGTCAGTCAGTCAGCTATAAGCAGAGCGATTCGATTCGTCACCTGCGACCTGCGACCGCCGAGACGAACGACGGGCCAACCGCGACGCCATTTTTCGACCCATGCATCTCTTTGTTCTTCCTGCCTTTCTGTAGCTGCATGTGATATTGCTGCAGGCTGCTCTACCGTACTGCAGATTCCGGTCGCGTGCGTCTGTAGCGAAGCTGGCAGCGGAAGCGAGAAAAGCAACGGATAGCCTACACAATCAGCGCTTCCGGACGCTCATGTCGATCTTCGCTCATTACCCATAGATGAACCCATAACGAAAGGAATCGGCCTTGTCAACCCCGATCGCCGCGCATTGCATCACAAGTTGACCTCTTTTGGCGCGCAACTCTCGACTCCGTCTCAACCCACGTCAACTACCTACGGAGTGCTACAGCGGTTGTTACAGCGGACCTGCCTATACTTTTACAGCACCTCACTCCGGAGCATCTTCCCACTGCGGTCTATCCATCTCATTCCAACGGCCTCTCAACTCCTTTTTTTCTTTGCATCGAGACCAAGATCCAGAGACGACTGTTTATTCCACCCCATTGAACGAATTATCTCAAAGCGACTCTCTCTTTACGACTCACGTCTTAAGACGAGCGCACTTCTACCGCCTCTTCACACCTAGGAAGTCCTCAACGACATAGGCGCTGACCTAGAATCTCACGACCAAAAGATCGGCCATCGACATATCGGGACGTGCTAAGAAACCAGACGTTTTATGAGCGACCGGAAAGGAAGACAAAGACGATAAGAGAACAAGGGAGGAAAAGAAGAAGAGGCAAAGAGAGCGAGCAAACCCACAGACGCATGTCATTTGTCTCACCGGCTTATCCGTCATCTTGCCAGTAACCATAGGTGGGCTGAGACATCATTCACAGCTGAAGAGCTGCAGCACGCCATTCGTTGGGCCTGAAGCCGCCGGATCCCTCGACCGAACGTGCGACTTTCATCCCAGGCGTCACTATCTGACCACATCTGCTCCCTTGTCTCTCTCGGCCCATGATCGGCATGTTCCGCTGAGATCTCCTAAAAAGCACGCGCCCCTCAGCTCCCCGTCGAGGATCCCAGTCCAGCCGCCATCATGAAGTCCACGATCAGCTCCGAGAAGTGGAAATGGAGGTCTTCTGTCGTGAGCACGACGGGATCGCTCTCCCCATTCCAGACTGGTCGCTCCAGAGGAGACTCGCCGGAGCCCCACGAGCCCAAAAAGTCACGGTCCTTGTCCAAAGCCTTCCGCTCGATCAGTAGCTCCTCGTTGGATTCAATGTCTAGTGGACCATCTAGGTCAGGATCCTCGGGCCGGAGGCTTCACAAGACGCCTTCGGGCTCGGGATCCGTGCTTGATAGGTTCCAGAGGAGATTATCAAGAGACTCCTCCATCGGCACCATCCCCCTGGAGCCTCCCCTCAGCCCTGTCGAACCGACCTTTGCCTCGATGGAGCTGATCCGATATGGGTGGCTCAAGACCGATTCTTCGCTGCTAAAGGCTCGATCCGAGTATCTCGTCTTAGCAGACCATTCGTTGGTCAAGTTTGGAAGCGCGGAAGCTGCTAGGGCTATCTTCCCGCAACTGACCCAGACTCAAGGCGCCCATGCACACTCCCACCAGCCCACGAGCAGCAAATCGGCCTCGGGAGATGTACGATTAGAGATTCCCCTTCGATCCATCATCGCAGCCTTCATCGAAGAGACTTCCAGCTCTCGGTTTGGTATCGAGGTGTGGTGGCTCTCGAGGTCTCCCAAGATCGCCTCCAACAAGGCACACTTCTACTTCGCCCTTCCGAAAGAACGGGATGATTGGCTGGCGGACATCCAGCAGGCGTACAAGGCCAGAATGAGGAAAAACCCGCTGCAGACGACTGTCCCGGAGAATGTCAAGATTCGCATCAACCACGCCATGCAGCCCGCTGATTCTGATGGCAATACCCAGAGTCTGATTTTCCCAGTGACAAAGCGTACTGTGGCGGCAACCCAGAAGAGTGCAGCTGCAGATGAATCCCAGGATCTCATAGACACGTCGACGTACTATCTTGCCATTGGCCCCTATATGTGCTATTTTATCGAAATACTCAAGGCGGACCACTTGACCTTGCCAGGCGATCTACGGCTGAAAACGTCGGCGTTTGGGACAGTATCCTTGATCCGATTCCAGGCCTCAGTGGCTTCTCACGAGCAAAGGTTCAGCATGTGCTTTCGGTGAGTGAGAACTTTTTATCAACATTTGTGTCTGTTTCATCTTTTCGTGTTTCTAACACTTACCCTCTTTGTTCACAGCCTGCCGTTTGGTCGAGAGACTCGTCTGGACTTGGCAAGCGTCTATTATCGCCGAATCATCGAAGCCCTGACCAAAATTGACCGCGTCCTCAAGCCCATGTGGCCGCAAAACCTTCAACATGCTATTTTCGAGATTAAGGGTCTCCCAGCACCTCTTCAGCTGACGTCTGGAAACGATTTGGGCGGTCTTGAGATGAGCCTCCAGGCATATTGCGTCGCCTTCGGCGTACCGATTCCCTCCTGGACGATCGAATGGTACACCCCATCGGAGCCGGCTTTCCGACTGCTTGCTTGTGACGACATGGAGTACTCTCCGCTCCAGATCCTGGCTGTCTTTCGGGCGTTGAGATACAATAGCTTCTTCAAGGCCTTGTCATTCCGTGATGTTGATCTTTCGTCACTGGCGAACAAGTACGACTATTCACAGTTGGGTGATGCGGTAGTGTACACTTCTCTTAGCGGTACGTGCATTCGGATCTCTCTTTTTTTTCCCAATCAGTTACTGACAAACGTTCCAGGCGTAAGAATACCAGACGACTATTACCAACTTCTCCTTCAAGCCCCGATCCTCGAGCAAGAGATTCATGCGTTGCTGTTCTCCTCTGAATCTATACGGTACATTGATCTTGCGAACGTCGTCGGCCTACAGCGCCCAAAGAGGCCACACACAGGCCGAGGATCGATCAATCAATCCACTATGCGCAAGATGAGTGGTGAGATCATTCGACCCTTGACGATGCTGCTCAAAACTCAGCTGTGCCATTGTCATGGCATTTCCATGTCTGGCAATCCCATTAGCTCCAGCGACGTAGCCGAACTAGGTATGTGACTTGCACACAACGGAAACAGGGGAGAAGACTTCACTTGCCTTGAACCTTGTCACTGACACCGTTCCAGCAAATGTCCTTGGACTGGATGATGTCCATATGAAGAAAATCGAACTCTCCAACTGCGCACTCGGAGACGGTGACCTTACCCAGCTCTGGAGTGGCCTAGCAGGCCAAGCCGAGACCATCGAATGGATCGACACCTCGAACAATAACGGGACTGTTGGTTTCGAAACCATCACTTACACACTCCGCCAGCTGCGCAATATCAAGAAGCTCAACATATCGGGCAATACTAGACTCATCTCGGAAGAACCGCTTTTCGCTGAGGGCGCGCTCAACAGCTGGGCTCTCCAAGAGCTGGATCTCTCCGGTATAGTGGTGCGTACAGTCGGACGACCTATCTCATACTTGCAACTAACTCTCAACCTCTAGCTGAACGATACTACTGTCATTTCTCTTGCCCGATACATGGAATCTCCCATGTCGCAGGACTTATTGGTGATGCGCCTCAACAATTGCGGTCTCACTGGAAGTCAACTTGCCCAGCTCTTCTTCAGCATGGGCAAGGGGCGGCACATGACGGTCCATGTGAATGCAAACCGGCTGGATGATGGCATCGAGAGTCTGTGTGAAGCAATCACTTCTGGCTACGGGCCATGGAGTCTGTTCATGCAGATGATAGAGTTCAGCTACGAAGCCAGCTTTGTCAAGCTGATGAAGGCGCTGACTGTCAACAAGACGATTGAGTGCCTCAGTTTGGCCGGCTGTGCTACGCCGGATGCAGTCAGCAGCGTAGCTTGCCAGGCGGCGGCGGCATTCTTCGCCAACAACGACACCATCCGTTTTCTAGATATATCCGGATACGACTCGAAGCTCGACGAGGGTCGGCTGGGCAGGGAATTCTCCCGGTCATTGAGCGGTATGAAGTTCAATAAGCGGATCGAGCACCTCCGCGTCCGGAGCCAGATGCTCAACATTAATATTGGGGATCTGGCGGAAGCCATCTCGTGCAACCGAACGCTGCATACTCTGGATTGCGAGGGGAATGACTTCAATCTCTCCAACTTCTGGCACCTGGTCAAACGCATTGAGGGCAACCCGACACTCCGGCACTTTTCGGCATTTTCGGACCAAGAACTGGCCAGAACGATCAAGAAAGCCGCCGAAGTTGACGTGCCCGTCGTGTCGTCGCGCCGCCCTTCGGGCTTGTTCACCAAACTCAAACATGAGAAGCCTCCTGTGACCATACAGAAGCCGCTTGTTGAGCGCCTGAGCGAGGAGTGGGAAGCCGCAATTGCAGCGCTGGATCAAGTTCTCGAAAGGAACCAGCAGGCTTATCGTGAGAGACATGGCAGTAGGAGAGCGACGGCCGATTCGGCACTGAAGGCGTGCGAGATAGAGGAGGGCACGTTCTCGGTCGATTTCGGAGGGCTTGCCAGCAAAGAGTTCGAGTCTCACAATGCCATGGCCTCCACCTTGCGCCGTGGCCCTTCCACTTCAACCCACAACTCGGAAGCATTCAAGGTCATTGTATCATCACCTTACACCGACGAGAACTCTGGCGAGACAACGATGCGGCCTTACTCCATGGTCTCAAGCGACGGGGCTAGTGACCCAATCACGGAGACCAGTTCTAACAGTGATGCTGGCGTTCCGACACCTTTGGAGATGGAAAGCCCCCCTGACAAAGAGCCAGGGTGGGCCGGAGCCTCGGCAGTGGACGGGACGAGCATCCCGGCTCCCGAAGACGACAGTTTACTTTCCGATCATGAGATAAGCTTGCTCATGGGGAAGTACCAGACCATGCTTAGCATTTCATCGGATATAATCGAGGAAGAGGGGAGGTAATGAGAGGAGAAGAGAGGGAAAAGGGGCCACCCTGGCATTGGTACAAATTGGCAGGAAACACGGCTCCTTGAGATGGGTGTAGGGGAAAGGGGGGAATGACGGGGGTGTGGCGAAGAGATGAAAAGGCAGGGGAACGACCCTGTCCTTTTTGACAACTATGTTTTCTTGTTATTTATGGCATGTCCTTTGGATTGCTTGCTTGTTTGCGAGCACATGCTCGACGGACGGATTGATTGATACCCACTGCTTATTGCTATTATTAGGTCCAAGCAGACTACCTACGGAATATAGAACCAGGAACCGTGAATCTCTTATTAGCTTGATGTGTGCATCGTACCAGCCACATCGTGGTCGAACAATAACCTAGAAACTGGGCCCCTGCAATTACTTCGTTGGCCAGTTTCTGCGGGCACGAAGCCCAATATTTGTTTGAAATCGTGCGGATATGGTGGTTGGTCTTGTATGCACGTACCGAGTTGTATGCACGAAATCAAGCCCGGGTGGAGCGCCGCCACAGCTGCTCCATCAGCCGTGGGGCGCTAATTCCGTTGCGCCCAGCCGCGCAATTTGCCCAGCCACAGCCCCAGCCGCAAGCTCCAGCTCCTCACTGGCATCTGCAGAGCCACTCCTCCAACTTGGAATCACCCACCACTTCGTGCTCCATAACCACTAATAAGCAGCAACGTGAGCATCATTGGGGAGGCGTTGGCGCGAGCTTCGTCATCACTTCTCGCCGGTCTTCCTGCTGTCTCTGTGCGACGCCTGCTTTTCCTTGCTTTGGGAGCTCAACTTCTTATCTTTTGTTTCGCTCACTTCTTCTACTTTCGCTGACTCTCTCCTTTGCCTGCGTCTCTCGTTCGAGTCCTGCGGAGCTCGCGCGCTCCTTTGTGAACCGCCTCCGTTCTGCTACCCTCCTGGGGCCAACAGCTCACCCCGACGACCCCCGAGCGGTCATCTGGCCTCGCTCGCCATGTATTCCAACTCGAATGCCTTCTTGGGAGGCAACAGTCCGCGTCCTGGGACTCAGCCGCAGCAGCAGTATGGCGGCTCCTTTAACAACCTAGGCCCCGGCCAGCAGCAGCAGCCGAGCCCCTTTGCGCCGCAGCCCACGGGCTTCGGACAGCAGCCATTGCAGCAGCAGTTCACGGGATATCCGCTGCAGGCCCAGCCGACGGGTTACCAGCCGATGCCGCAGCCGCTGCAGCAGCAGTACACCGGCTTCCCGGGACAGGGACAGCCGCCGCCGCAGCAGCAGTTCCAGACGTCGAGCGCCCCGCCGATGCCGTCGATTCCTCCTCAGTTCCAGCAGCAGTTCCAGCAGCAGCAACAACACCACCAGCCGCCGCAGCAACCTCAGCAGCTGCCTCAGCTTCAGCAGCAGGTGCCCCAGCAGACGGGATTCCCGGCCGTGCCGCCGCCGCAGCAGCAGCAGCCGCAGCCCAGCTCGACAATCTCCCCTCCTCCTCCCCCGATAAAGCCGCAACCGACTGGATTCGCGGAGGTCGCTGCGTCATTCCAGACGGGAGGCACAGCCAAGCCCCAGGGACGACGAGGAGAGAAGTCGCAGAGCAAGATCCCCAACATTAGACTCTCTTTTATCACGGCGGCGGATCAAGCAAAGTTCGAGACTCTCTTCAAGTCTGCTGTGGGAGATGGCTCGGCGACAATGTCGGGCGAAAAGGCCAGGGATCTCTTGATACGGTCAAAGTTGGATGGCGAGTCCCTGTCGCACATCTGGTATGGACATAGACACAGACAACGCTTCTCTTCTTGCTGCTATTCAACCGCATGAATACTAATACAACAACACTTGTAGGACCTTGGCAGATACCACGCGAGCGGGACAGCTATACTTTCCCGAATTCGCCCTTGCCATGTATCTTTGCAACCTCAAGCTTACCGGCAAGACGCTACCGCCAACTCTGCCCGATCATGTCAAGAACGAGGTCTCCAGCATGGTCGATATTATCAGCTTTAGCGTTGCTGATGAAGGCCCGTCTGGTGGCCAATCGAACAATGCTCCGACTATTGAGCAACCGAAGCCGCAACCGCCGCCTCCGTCAAATTCTCAGCTTCTCCAAGCGCAGCTGACGGGCTTTCCTGGAGCGCAACAGCAGGGTTTCGGTGGACAGTCGCAAGGTCTTCAGCCTCAGCCGACGGGCTACAACAATCTGCAAAACCCCCAGCCAACAGGATACAATGGTCCCCTCCCTCCGTTGCCTCCTATGCCCACTGGATTCGGCGGCCCTGGCGGCGGCGGCATGATAGCGCCTCTGAATGCTCAACCCACAGGGGTTCCGGGTCAATGGGGCCTTGTCAATGCTCCTGCTTCTGGGTTGCCCAATATCGATGCGCTGCAGGCTCGTATGATGCCTCAAGCTGGCCGCGAAGCTGGTTCCTTCACTACCGCCGGCCTGCAGGGCAACGCCGTTATTCCCTGGGCTATTACCAAGGAGGAGAAGACCAGATACGATGCGCTATTCAAGGCCTGGGATGGTCTTAAGAAGGGCTACATTGGTGGCGACACGGCCATTGAGATTTTTGGTCAAAGTGGCCTTGAGAAGCCTGACTTGGAGAGGGTGTGGACGTTGGCTGACCACGGTAACAAGGGCCGTTTGAATCTCGACGAATTCGCTGTTGCCATGCATTTGATCTACAGAAAGCTGAACGGATATCCTCTGCCCAATGTCTTGCCTCCAGAGCTTGTCCCTCCTTCCACTCGCAACTTCAGCCAGTCTATCGGCACATTGAAGTCGATGTTGCATGAAGAGTCCGACCTCCGCAAGAACTCGGGAGCTGCCCTGCTTCCCCAGAAGACCGGTGTCAGTTATATGAAGAACCGCTCTTTCCGAGGCGGCCCTAGCCCGGCTGCAGGCGGACGGAAGGATGCTACGGTCTTCAGGAACGACGACGAGGAGTTTGGGTACAGGTCCAGTGCTCGCCGAAGGCTGGGCGGCGCCTCTCCTCGAGCCGAATCTCCGGCAGCATCTTCTGTTGGCTCCAACGATGACTTGACGCTCGATGAGCTTAGAAAGAAGATTAAGGAGAAGCAGATCTTGCTCGACGCTATAGATTTTGCCGACGAGAAGAATCACGAAGAGGATGATATCCTGGACCGACGGGACCGCCGCGAAGCCGAGGAGCTCTACCGTCGTATCCGTCGCATTCAGGAGGATATTGATTCGCACCCCGACGCTGCGCTAGCCGTCGGTAACTCGGACGCTGAGGCGAGAGCTCTGAAGCGCCAGCTCCAGAAGCTCACAGACAGAGTCCCCGAGCTTGCTTCGCAGGTACGAAAGACGGAAAAGGCCATTATGGAAGCAAGACTCGAGCTCTTCCGTCTCAAGGATGCCAAGGCACACCCCGGAAGCGCATCAGCCATCGTCGGAACTGGTCCTGGCGGAGCAGTGACAGAGTCTGACCGGCTCAAGGCTCGAGCAAAGGCTATGATGCAGCAGAGAACTGCTGCCTTGACGGGCAAGAAGATTGAATCCACCACTGAGGACTTTGACGCCCCCAAGAGGCTGGAAGAAGAGAGCATCAGGGTTAGAAACGAAAAGGAAAGCAATGAGCGCATGGTGCACGACGTTGAGGAAAGCGTCCGTGAGTTCTCGCGCAGTATCGAGGACAGCCTCAACGATACAGGCAAGGATAACAGTAGTGAGCATGAAAGACGTCGCTGGGAAGACGCTCTCGGCGTTGAGGACGAGGTTCGAGACTTCATCTTCGATCTCCAGCGCGAGAGTCGTGCGGCCCGCATCCGAGCCCAGGACAAGCGTTCTGCCCGACCTACAACAGCAGACGAGGCTCCGCGGGACAGAGCTGCTGCGGCTCCCCAGCGCAACGACAGCCCAGCTTCGACTTCACGTACTGCCACTCCCTCTTCCACGGCTGGTGGCGGCTCTTACTCCTCGTACAAGACGCCCGAGGAGCGCGCTGCTTTTATCAAGCAACAGGCCGAACAGCGCATGGCTGAGCGCCTTGCGGCACTTGGTATCAAGGCCCCGACCAAGTCCGGAGAGACGGCCGCTCAGCGTATCGAGCGCGAAAGGGCCGAGAGAGCCGCCAAGCTGCGCCAGGCTGAGGAGGAAGATGCCCGCCGAGAGGCCGAGCGACAGGCTCGCCTTGCCCAGGAACAGGGTATCCCCCCTCCTGCCGCGGAAGAGCCGCAGTCGGCGGCGAAGAAGCCTCCACCACCACCATCGAGAAAGGGCGGGAAGACGGAGGCTGATGCGGCAAAGAAGGCCGAAGAAGAGGCAGCCAAGGCCGCCGAGGAGGAGCGCCTTTCACGAGAACATGCACAACAGCAGAGGGAAACCGACGAGATGGAGTAAGTGTTTTGTTTTCTTTTTTCTTCTGCCTAATCAATCATAGGGTTGCTAACAGGTTTGTCTCTGTAGGCAAAAAGTGCAGGAGGAAGAAGACGAGTTTGCCAAGGAGCAACGTGAGGCCGAGGCCCGGCTTAAGGCCTTGGAGGAGCAGGTCCGGCAAGGAAAGCTACGAAAGGAAGAGGAGAAGAAAAAGAAGAAGGCAGCTCTGGCAGAAGCCAAGGAGAAGGAGGCCAAGCTTGCTGCTCGTCGCGCGGAGATTGAAGCTGCCAAGCAGCGCGAGCTTGAGCTACAGCGCCAACTCGAGGCCATCAACGACGACGACAGCTCCTCATCCGACGAAGACGAGGGCCAGCCGCAGGTTACGCCGCAGGCATCGACTCCCACGCCTGAGCAGAGAGTGAGCTCGCCACCTGCTGCTCCTGCTCCTGTTCCTGCCCCTGCCCCTCCTGCTCCCCCTGCTGCTGCTTCTATCCCCTCGCCGCCTCCCGTTCCCACGGTGGTCACCTCTCCCCCAGTTGAGACGGAGAGTAAAAACCCCTATTTTAAGATGATGTCGCAGTCATCGGAAGCATCCTCACCGGCTGTGCCAAAGGAGACGCCAGCGGCCGCACCTGATGTTTCGACCAACCCCTTCCATCGCATGACGCAGGACATCAAGGCGGCGCCCGTTCCGACTCCGGCGCCCGTTCAGCCTTGGTCCCGTAAGCGAGCCGATTCTGACGACTGGGGCTCGGACCGGGACTCGGAGGACGAAGACTCTGACGACGACGACCGGCCCGGCGGTGGCAACGCTACCCAGCTGGCGTCCATCTTGTTTGGTACCATGGCGCCCCCCAGGCCGCTTTCTGCCGCTGGTCGAGACTCGGCGCACTCCACGCCTGCTCCGACCAACGATGCGATCGCCTCTCCTCCGCCTCTGCCGACCGGAACGCCTGTTGGTGCTCCTCCTCCCCCTCCGCCGATGCCAGATGCCGGAAGCCCGCCGCCTCCTCCGCCGATGCCCCCCATGGGAGGTCCTCCCCCTCCACCAGCATTGCCTGGCGGGGTACCTCCTCCTCCTCCGCCTCCTCCGCCTGGCGGCGCTCCAGCACTGCCAGCAGCAGGTGGTGGTCGTCCGGCCGGCTTCCTGGGCGAAATCCAGGCCGGAAGGGCTCTCAAGAAGACGACGACAAAGGACAAGAGCCAAGCTGCCGTCGCTGGCCGAGTGTTGGATTAGAAGTGACGCCTTGCCATTGTAAAAGCGGGGAGGACATTTTTCGATTCTTGGCGAACTTCCAAGGCTCACTTTTACTTGATATTTGAATATTGTCTGTTGAGGATGACTCAGAGGCGAGGAGATGCGAGAGGGAGACGTTGCAGCGTGTACGTTTAGCACAATGCACACATTGCTTCATTGTTATGTTTGAGAGAGGTTTTGTCATTTAGTCTATCTATTCTTTCTATTTTGCTGCTGTTTATTCAAAATAAGACTGAAAAATATCGTCACTGTCTGGTGCAGCGAGCTGTTGCTTTTCTGTTCATTGACTGACTTATGCCCAAGGTACGCGGTGATTCCGTGCCAAATGCCATCAAGGTATCAAGATGCTCACATGATTAGAGTGGCAACTCCGCGAATCTAGCATTCCCAACGTTTGAACCGAGATATGCTTGCTCTATAGCACGGACCTCTTCGTTCGTTCAGGATGACCATCTCTCTTCCCTCTCTAATACCAGAAGCTTTCGAGAGTCCCCCTAACGCGGGTGCCACGAACCAGAATTTTGCACAGACCTGAATGACTTCGATGCTATGTTTGTTTCTCCCATTTTTGGGCCCAGATATCAAAATGTCATGAGGCAAGGGCATGCCACATGTGCATATGCATATTGCATGTGGAGCCATGATACAAACATTTTAGAAGTCGCTCTGGAAAAGGAGAAGAAAGGAAATG